GATAGGAGCCATGAAGTCAACACACCAGGCTGGTTCAAAATTTAAACAATGAATTTTGAACTTTTAATGATACCACTGCATTGAAAGATGGAATAACTGTAACAACTAGGATGAAAAGGTCTGTTTTCAACTGTTCAGGGCAAAATATGAGCATTTTGCAGTTGATTCTGGATTTTATTTTTATTTACAAATCAGAAAAAAATGAAGCGGCGAATCCGTTAACCAAGAAATTAAATTGGTGTGGCCTAAGAGCACAAAATTATCATTAACAAGACATTAGCTCATGCCCTTTGCCTAAACCCCCCTCCCAACTATCTATCTCATATTAGTCTTGGTGTTGAAATGATTATACCTTTCAATTTTGGTCATTTACTGATCAAATCAAATCAATTAATCAATCTATGCGCCTTTTTGCAGATCAGTCTAAAAATAACTTCTTCTCTTGATACACCTGTCAATACAAAGCCCAAGGGGGTAGAAGCTCATGTTGCAGACTTGACATTCTGTCAAAATTTCCAACGTTTTGATGAGGACTTAGAATTGTACTACATGTAGTATTTGTTCCTAGCAAAGAACAGATACTATCAAATGTACAGGCTTAGGCCACACCAATTTAATTTGTTGTTTCTCTGATTTTTTCATTTTTTTCAAATATGAAGCAACAGGACAAAAAAAATAAAACCAGATCTAGGCATCCTATTATAGCCCCAAATGCTACTTTCCTGAATTGTTGGGGGCAAAACATGAGCACTTTTGAGTTGATTCAGAACCAGAATCTTTTTTTTTTTTGCAAATCAGAAAAAAATAAAGAGGTGAATCTGAGAACCAACAAATTAAATTGGTGTGCCCTTCGCAGAATATGAAGTAGTAGAGTTTCTTACAGCGTCACCAGAGTCATCGCAGATGTAACACGTCTTACAGTCGATGCACTGCCATGGAGACATCCGCGATCTGCGAGCCAGGTCCGCAGAGTAGCGCATACAGGACGGGTGAGCTACCAAAATTCAAATGTCATTGTTAAATCTTCAACGTCATCAACAACATTACGTACAGCATCCACATGGAGTCTTTGCTATAACTCATGTATTTTCATACTGTTCAATTTGCATTGATCAATCAAGCAGTATAGAACTACAAAGTATAGTAGTACTAGTTATCAAATATGTTGCTGCTGTAGGAAAATTTTGACTTCTGGAACCAAGTACAGGTACTTTTTGACAAGGCAAGAAATTACCTCAGTTAGTCACTTTTTATAAGAAAATAATGATAGAGTCTCTGTACATGGCATATACTTCATACCAGCTAACATATTAACTGTAGCATGTAAGGGCATGCTAGTGTAGGCAGACCTTGCACAACCTACATACATGAACTGTGTGAGGATGTGGGTTGCAGACCGGAAGACCTGCCCAGGGCCATGGAGGCTAGGGAGGGCAGGCGGTGAAGAGTCACGAACATCCGTGAAACTCTCACAACAAGATGATGATGAGTAGTGATGCATACCGGACTTGTAAGTCAGTTCCGGACTTACAAGTCCGGACCTAAACCCATGGCATATACAAAATTGCATGTTGGCAACCTTGCAATGTTGTCTGCGTGAAACTTTGGCCGCATAACATGGAGGCCGGTACTTGACGATGCCCAATGGCAATGTTTTCTTCATTTTGCAGCAAAGATTTTGCAATCTACGGAAGGTTTTGGATGGTTTGGAAAGAAAAGGGGTATGTGAAATGATCTTTTATGGTAATAAGTCCGGACTCAGTTCTTGAGTTTTAGGTTTTTTTGGACTTGAACCTAAACATTCTTACAAGTCCGGATCCAAGTCCAGTGAACCGGTATGCATCACTATTGATGAGCTTATTACTCTTTCAATATTCAAACAAACTCTTGAAGGAATAGATGGAAAGTCACCTTTTGCATTGCAGTCCTTACAGATGAGCAGGTCTTCCTCCTCCCCACTACGGTTACACTCCGAAGTCAGGAGACAGTAGTCACACCGCGGGTCAGACGGTGACTTGACCAGTGGCTCCTGCTCAAAGTCTGGTCCATGGGTCTTCTTGATTCTCTGAAGGGGAGAAATGTTACAAGCTTAAGTATCAAACTTCAACTTTCTTCTTAAAGCGCTATTATTCAAGATTTTCACGCCAAAACTGTTAATATGAATTATTGAAATTTTCTCATCTAGATTGTCATTTTCAATAACTTTCAATGTATTAGCGTCGCTATTTCGCTTTTCCAGCGCAGCACGAGAATAAGTTGCGCCAAGCCTGCTGTATTTTTAGGAGGCTCCTAAATAGAAAGTTAACAAACATGGCCACAATCCGCACTAGCGCCGAGGAGTTGGCAGTTTTCCAACAAGTTGGTCTTTTACTCCCCAAATGTCATTATAAACCCAGGTAGGCTTATAGGACAAAAAATGTGTAAAACAACATTTAAAGTAGTAAAAATCTCACACAATGTCGTTTTTAAAAAGCATTTTCCAGTACCAGATTTTAAAAAGCATTTTCCAGTACCAGATTTCACATAGCTATCACGATATACTTTCCAACTTTTGTTGTCACGGTTTGTTGTCTGTTGTCATTTACTACTAGATATACTAGTAGTCTAATTTACTGCACTACCAAAACGTTTACAAGTTGTTACATACATACATGGTGGGAGTTAGAGAGAAAACATGAAGAGATGTGCATAAGGCCACACCAATTTAATTTCTTGGTTAACGGATTCGCCGCTTCATTTTTTTCTGATTTGCAAATAAAAATAAAAATCCAGAATCAACTGCAAAATGCCCTGAACAGTTGAAAACAGACCTTACATCCTACTTGTTACAGTTATTCCATCTTTCAATGCAATGGTATCATTAAAAGTTCAAAATTCATTGTTTAAATTTTGAACCAGCCTGGTGTGTTGACTTCATGGCTCCTATTGTACCATTTTGGGCCATAATACGATGCCTAGGCCTGTTTTAATTTTTTTTTTTTTCGCCCGCCCGCTCCATTATTTTTGTAGAAAAATCCGTTAACCAAGAAATTAAATTAGTGTGGCCTAATGACTAAAGAACAACAGGACAAAATAACCTTGAGCCAATGTGTGCTTGGAGCTGCCAAGTGCTATCACTTTGTTTGAAGCTTTTTAGCATTAGAAGATGCTTATTTTATTCATAATCATACTTGAATGATCACTTTGAAGTTCAGAAAAAGTTTTCTCCTAACAACTAGTTATTTACTTGTTTACTGCTGTTGCCATGGTAACTCTTGTTACTAGGAGACAACCAACAAGCTGGAAGGTGGCAGAAATACTTCAAAAAAGCCTAAAATGCCAAACAGATAATTAGCTACAAAACCCAAAAGGAGAAAAATACTCGAGATCTGCATTCTTTTAAACTTTTTCAAATTGAAGAGGCAAAAGTTTACCAGAACTTCAATTAATTTCTATCTTTTCAAAATGTAGGGATTTTTTCCCCATTTTGAGAAGTATATTTCAATATGTTTTGGTAGCTCTTTTTTAAAGGCCCTGGGCAGGTACCAACTCAGAAATAACAGGCTATATTCCCACACTGACTATTCTGTTGTTTCTATCTATTGTTTACAGTGAGTACTAGTATCCAGTAGGATTTACTGAATCCCTGCTCTCAGCTGATGTTCCCAGGAGATTCGGTAAGGCCACAGTAAGTAAATTCTATGGATGACATTCTCCGCAAACTTCAAATCTAATGCGAGAGGGAAAAAAAAACAAGGCGGGCCCAAAAAAACAAGATTCCTATATTTTGAAATTTTGACATCATACATATATGTAAACCCTATTAAACAAGAAATGATACCTATATGGTGCTAACTTTACTGCCAACTATCACAACACCAATTTGTCACTAAAACAACTTTAAAAAGGGAAAGTTTTCAATCATTGTACAAATGCTTTTGATTCCGTGGAAACGTATAAAAGGAATAAAATACATCTTTGCATCAAAGTAAAAGTCAAAAAAAATAAATCAGAGCCTTGTCTTGTCTCCTCTCTTCATGTTTATCTGCCATATACGTTCCAGCATGGCAAGGCATGCCATTTTGTCCATTTTCGGAATGTTGACCACCGTCAAAGGGCAATAAAATTTCTTGTTTTTTTTTTAAATCAGGCGAAAATTAATGCGCGCGCGGATGTCATCCATAAAAATTACTTGCTGTGGCCTTAGTTCTGACAATAGAAATTCCCACACATTTACACACATGTATAATGTAGTACTGTACTCCAAGTAGCTGAGTAGATACAACTTGAAACTAGCACTATGACTTAGGCTTGTTTTGATTTTTCAATACCCTTTTTTCTCATGTCATATCACTTTTACTTGTACTTGGGTTCTTATGCTGAGAAAATCTATGTCTATGTGCAAATAGAAGTGCTATGCAATAAGAAAAAAAGCTTATTAGTTGAGACTAGTGGACATCCATCTACTAGTATTTGTTCATTCCAACATGGAAGTTTAAAAAGTTATTACTGTATTCACCAAGGGAACAAGTAACTAACTTATCAACTATCTTAAATATCAACTTCATCCAATATCAATGAATTAATAGCTTGAAAATCACCCACAATAACCATAATCAGGTGAAAAAAATGATGAAAAATTAACCATCATGTACTAGTATCTGTTTGAGGATTTGCATTTTCCTTGTTTCCACATTCCAAAATGGCTATTGCAAAATTTGTCTTTTGAAAAGAGTGCAAAGTGGGAACAACTTTGGTTCTCACAGCAGAACTTTTAGATCCCATTGCAGAGGCTTCATGATAGAACTACAAGGGCACTAAGACAATGAATCAAAACAGATCACTGTCATTAGTTATAAAAACAGGTATTACTCCAGAGTATATTAATCAACCGTGTAAATTGGTCCAAGTAAGAAGTAACTAATTACATATTGACAGCTGTAGTTTTGGTTGATAGTGAGCTAACAGCTATGTCCTATAATAGTAGTCTGTTTTTAGAAAATCTTTGATCTGTTTCTGAAGCAACATCAGTTATCAAGGCCATACCAATTTCAATTGTTGGTTCTTGGATTTTTCCAGAAAAAATATGAAGTGACAGGGCAAAAAACAAATAAAAACAGGCCTGGGCTTCCTATGATAGCCCCAAATGCTATAATAAGAGCCGTGAAGTCAACATGCCAGACTGGTTTGTAATTCAAACAATGAATTTCAAACTTTTAATCAAACCACTGCATTGATAGATGGAAAAACTGTAACAAATCTGAACACAAGGGAGTTCAGGACTTCAATTGTTGGAGCCTAATTATAAGCATTTTGGAGTTGATTCTGAGGCTAAAATGTTTTTTTTGCGAAGTAGAAAAAAAATGAAGCAGGTGAATCCGTGAACCAACAAATTGGGTAGTTAAAAAACTTTAAGTAGCCTGGAAAAACAAGAACAATTCTTCTCCATTGCAGTAACTAGTTCTTCCTCTTGTTTGTATCCTTCTATCCGGAAAATGAGAATGCATACATTTTTCTTAAATTCTTAAATCATTTTTTGGCATTTTGAACAAAAAAAAAGTGACTACTGGTATGTTCTTTTTAATTTAAAAACAGTCATAGGACAAAAGTTACCATGGCAACCTGCAGTCAAGGAGATGCTTTGCAAAGGATGATGGGAAATGATAAACAATTCATTACTCTTCAAGGTGAAGGTTTCCTTTTTTAACAGCTTTTGTTAGCCTTGAAAAAAATCAATATCATTTCCTTCACATGGAGTAAAACATGGAAGTGAAAATGACTTAGACAATAGTTTATTTTCAGAAATATTCGAAGCCTAGGTAGTTAAGCCAAGGTCAGACTACTGTGGAGAATGGAGGCGAATCAAATAACGTTTTCTTTCTTTCTGTGTATTTTGCTTCCTCCTTTCCCGCGATTTTGTCCGTTGGTTTCCTTGAAAAAAATAAAGCCGCTTCCTCTTTTGCGCGCTACACGCAGGATATAGCGTCATCGTATGGCGGAATGCCGCCGACCTCATAATTCATCCCAGGATGTTTCGCTCACGCAATTTCGGCTCACTGCAAATTTATTTCAGCCGTGCGACATCCTGGCTCGGCGCGCATACGAAATGAGGCGCACACGGCGCTCTGTTTTCTTCAACCCGTCCGCAAACTGAAAACAGCTTTCCGGGACGACGCGTAAGCACAGGAACAATTTATACACGCACCGGCTTGATTGCGCTTCCCTTTTTTGTGTGCGTGTGTGGCGGTCTTGAAGATATCTATGCGCCAGAGATCGTGTAATAACGACCGCACCAGCCGACCACCCGGGGTATCGATTTTTGTATCGCGCAGTTCTGATCCAGCATTGGAAAATGAGCGGGTCGAAAAATACTCGCCACAGAAAAGCGCCTGCGAGACAAACACAGGGGGAAGCGCAAAGAGTGTACCGCGTTTAGAATCCACACATTGCCAAGAGTTTTCCTTGTCTGTTCGTTGTTGTTTTTCGGGAAACGCGTTACGAAATCCAGCCCGAGAACTGTTTGTAAGGCGCGCCCGTGTAAAGGTTTGGGGGGCGAATTTGGCGCAGACCGAGTCATAAATTATAGAAAAGTGCGACAAGATGCGTGCGCGACCTTCGCACCATCGGAGCGCGAACGGATATGCAAATACGCTGAAAATGGAGCCACACAAACACAATACTTTTAGCGGTTGTAAATGGAACCGACCAAAGCGCTTCTGTTGGAAAACCGACAACGGGAAGAAAAGTACAAACAAGTGAAAGAAGCAAATGACAGAAAAAGGCGAGGAAAACGTTTGTTTGTGAGTTTTTCTGGGGGTGTACCTTGCGTTTGGTAAACCGTGCCGGAGCGGCCGCGCCAGCCGGCGAGGTCTTCTTCGGGCTGGAAGCAGGTTTTTGTCCGCCGGGCAGCACATACTCGCCGGTGCGCGTCCTGACGAGTCGTGCGGCCTCCACTTCTCTCTGGAGAACGGTGAGGAGGTGATCGCCGGTCAGGTTGGTGCTGGAGTCCTCTTGGCGCAGGTAATTCTCGATGTCCGTCGGCGTGACCCCCTGCGTGGCTCCACGAGTGGAAGAGCTCCCCGCCTCTTCCCCCTCACTTCCACCGGCCGCCGCGCGGCTCCCACCCGGACCTACCGCGAACAGGCCCCGCACGGCCGCCAGGACCTTGTGCGAGGCCCGCTGCGAGTTGAGCTGGATCCCGCTGAGGTGACTTTTCTTCCATTTCGCGGCGTTCCTGTAGGACGTACTGCCCTTGTATTCCACTTTAATGACGATATCCGCGTCAACTAGCCGCTCCAAGTCCGCCGCGATCTCGGCCGACTTCACGCCATGCCTCCGCTCCACCATGTGGCAGATCCTATCCACGTCTGGCCGCGCCTTGCGCTTCCGCAGACTGTCGATGGTCTCCAAGATCCACTCTGTGTACTTTGGTGCCGACATTTTCACACAGATCGGGCCCTGCCGGTGCGAAAAGGTGACTTTTTCTCAGCCGAAACTGCGGACAAAACTCACTTTCCGCCGAACCGGAATTTTAATGAGCAAATCGAACGCACGCCCAGTACGCATGCGTACCAAAGCCGATAGGGACGTCTGGGAGGCGGGGAGGTTTTTTGTCACAAAGTTTTTCGTCACAAACCAAACGACATTTTCCCGTCAGAGAAAAACCATTAGTCTTAATTGTTTCAAGTAAGATTGCTGCGTCATTCTAGCATTACGCGAGCGTACGGGCTACAATTTGCAGACTTTTCCGTTGACTTCGTGGCCCGCCAAGGTCTCATGACCACGCCCCGCCCTCTGAGATCACGTCATATCGGGTTGCGCGCGCCGCCACAGAAATCGGCTTCGAACCCGGGACCACCCGATCCACAACAAAGCGCGTAAAAAAATCGCACAAACAACCGCCCGCGCAACCCTCCCTGGGCAGTGTTTCAGCGGCGGGCGGGGGTACACTTATGTGAGGAGTGACGACACCGTGTGCCCGTGTGTGTAAGACGTATTTCAGACAGCGTAAAGTTAAAGCGCAAAAGCGCGCACTGTGTCGTCCTGTTCGGAGGGACTTGGCGGTCGTGCGGGGAGTCAGGTTGTGCGGTATCCGGTAACATGGCAGCTCTTGACGTGTCCTTCCGTGCGCGCGGGTGCTTTCAGCATTGTGGGAGCGGGCTGAATAACTGTAGCTCCGGGCCGTCTGCGATCGGCCGCGCGTGATCTGAATGTTAGATTAATGGGGGATGGCCGCCCCGTGAACTCCCAAATCGATAGACGAATATTAAAGGCGTCTGCTTCAATCCCTTCCCGAAATCTTGGCCCCCAAACGGAGCGCCGACCTCCGCTCCTGTATAGCCTCCATGTTTACATGCGCTTTTCTTTCACGGGGGGCAAACATTTCAATGGACGTGGTCCCAACGCGAGAAAAAAGCCCCGGGCCCCCGTGCGCCGCACAATGCGGGTACAGACTACAAACAGTACACCGCTGCCAACTCCCCGCTTCTAGTTCTAGTCCCCAAATTTTCACAGACAGAGCGCGTGTCGGAATATCGTCTCACAAAAGCAGAAAATGTCTTCACCCTTGTAGTGTTACGTGAGCCGACGCACACGGCCAATCCAATTTGGAGTCCGCAGCTTGGTAAATCATATTTTTTTAAGCAGTGCGTGTTTCTAAATTGCTGGGCGAGACTGTCGCGGTCTTGCGTGCGAATGGAATGCAGGCGCGTCTACTGCGTCTCGCCTGAGTGAACATTTACCGCGCGCTTCTGTTTTGGAGGGACGCGACATTTTGTGTGATTGTTTGTTGCCAATGACGAAGAAAAAGAGCGCTTTTGTGCGCCATTTTTCTACACACGGAGAAGCAGCTAGATGAATCGTTGTACACGTATACTAGCGCGCGGCCACGTTTTTCAGAGTCGCGGTCCAAAGTGCACGCCTTGTTCCTTTTCCCGCCTCCGACAAGAGGCCCACCAAGGGGTGTCGCGTAGTTTCCTCCCCAAATATAGTTGGGGAAACGACGTAGAAAGCCTAACGGAATCAACAACGACGCGCCTAAGCCTGGATTGGGCTCGCCATTGCTTTGAGTACTAGTAAAAAGACGGTGTTTTGTATGTTTTATCCGTCCGCATCTTCTGTTACAGGTCCTACGGGACTATCAAAGCGCGAACAGCGCGGCGTTTCACCCGCCTTCTCTGACTCGCGCTCGTGAAAACCTGCCTTTGCCGGGTGGGACCCCGCTCGCTTAGGTCACCGCCTGCGGTGTGTATACTTAACGTCACACACAACCCGTTCAACTCTACATCGCACTAGTGGAAGATCACCAAAATTTCTTCAACAACAACGCGTGAATGATCGCTTCGCCATTTCACGGGGGTGGGGGGTTAGTGTTGGTGTGGAGGGGCGCGGGGCCGTGACCCTAGTGCCGCCTGGATGGGGGGGTGGGCATCCCCGAATGTTGGCGCCGTGCTCACGTCAACAATCTCACACAAACACAAATATTGTAAGACGACTCCGGCAGGCGATATTGCAGCAATATACATGCGGGTAGGACAAGTGCGCACCCGGTGGCGGGGGCAGCGGGCGAAAATTGAAACCGACGGGCCAGAATATTTGCTTTCGCAGTTCCCTTTCTTTCACCGAGAACGCTGAGGCCGTCAGTAAAATGTGAGAACCGGACAGCGAGAAGCTTTCAGATAAGGTAAAAAGGGATCTTAAAGCGATGCCACAGCCTCAGTATGCAAGCTGTAATATACAACCTACAAGCGGATATGAGTGTTTTGACCGAAAACAGGCACGAAGCGCGTGTCAAATCCACGGCGTATATTGAAGAAAGCTGGCTACCACGAAGCGGCAGCCACTAGGCTAGCACTCCGCCTATCCAAACTCGGCCAGCCGGTTGCGCAACTACAGCGTATTTGCAGCCGAAGCGGTCTCCCATCTGAACATACAAACCTACAAGCAGATGTCGCGAAAAGATAGTTCGATTTTGTTTCGCTTTGGCCACTGTGTTCTCGTCCACGTGAGATATGCTACTTTGAAAACGGCGCACACATCACATACATCTTCTACCAAAATAGCCTACTAAGATTGCAATGCGCTCATACTTCAGTCATAGAAAAATCATGGCGTCGCATAACGTTGAACTTCAAGTTGACATGAAGCCAAACCATTGCCACATGAACCTTCCAAACTGGGCTCACTCGAAGCCTGGTGGAGGAGGGGGGGGGGGCTGTTACAATGTTGGCGACAGACTACTAGTATACGCCACCTCTCAGGCTTGCATGGTTTAACTTTAAGCGGGGTTCCGGCCTTTGATAAGGCACACCCCGATGTCTAAACAAACGGACGTGCCTGTAGGAAAACAAGAACTTCCGTGCGCTGGAAGCGAGATTACAACACGGAACGGGAACTGCCACATTGTATATAGATACCCGGCGCCCAAGCAGATGCATGGCCCCACGGTCTAACTTGATTTGAACGTCCTTTTTTGTACTCTCCAAGCAGAGGTTTGGGTTTGGGCTTATTCTTGGCATGTTTTTAGGCTTTTTTTAATCGGTGTTTCTCTCTTGCACTGGAATTTTTTTTAATATTAAAAAAAAAACGATGAAAAAGCCTAAAAACACGCCAAAAATAACCCCAAACCTCTGCTTGGGGAGTACCTTTTTTTGGCCCTTCTCGCGTTCTCACGAAGTGCACATCTCTGAATTCGAAAGTAAGGTCTCTACTAGATTCCGTGATAGCAACGGGAATTAGCCGGCCAAAGAGTTACCATTTACAATACAAATCTGTTCTCCAATGACAGACCGAGCCCTCCGATAAGCTATTCCATCTATTTTGGCTATTTTTTTTTAGATTCCGCCAAGAGAGCTAATAGATACTAGAAATACGCACACCACTAGAAGTACAAAGCCGTACAAATCGTCATGGCAGACGGTCGAGGCAGGGAGGGCTATACGTCTGGTCAAGCTACACACATGATGACGTCGGCTGCTAGCTGCTTGTGACAGTCGTGACCACTACAAATTCGCTTATCGGAGAAGAAAAACGGGGAGACGACGATAGTAGGGCAGGGTTGATCATACGGTATTCTTTAGTGTCCACCAGACTTGCTGAAAACAATGGTGTTATGGCCGATCGCAGACAGGGACAAGCTGCGCAAGTTATTCTAAGGATTCACATCAAGCTAGCGCTTTATCAAAATATTACGCACGTCTTCGAATTCGAATAGTACATAGTGACACTTCGGAGAGCATCATCTTTACTAACGGATAGGCACACGGAGCTAGCCTGGGCAGCCATCCGTTTTTTCCCGCTTAGCGAGTGCAAGGAGCCCCTTTAGTAGCGCTCTCACGGCGCTCTTTCTGCGACCTGAAATTGGCCAGAGCGCGGAGATAGAGAGCGCCGAACTCCACGAAAAACGTAATCTCCAAGCAGATCTTTTGGTGGGGGTAAGACAGTATCAAATTGGCCAGTCTGTATCCATTTCCCCACCCACCCTTACCCCCACCAAAAGATCTGCTAGGACTAGTAGGAGATTACGAAAAACGTGCTAAAGTGGAATCTCTACGGCGACCTCTCTGCCCTCTCTGCGCGATCAAAAACTCAAATGTCAGCAACGTTCTTGGGCGATCACTGAACGAATTCGAAGCTCACTCACTAGAATTACGAAAATAGAGAACTAGATTTTGTGCGTTTTCTCTCTTTCAAAGTCATTGTTGTACACGCATCCTGCATCATATTTAGATTATGAAATCAAGGGTGTATTAAGGCCCTCATTTCCCCCCATTGGATCGTCGTTGGCGCTCTCACAGCGATGGTATGATCCGCTCTGGCCAAATTCAGGTCGCAGAGATCTAGAGAGCGCCGTCAAAGTGTAAGGCCACACCAAGTAAATTTTATGGATGACGTCCACGCGCGCATTGATTTTCGCCTGTTCCTAGAAAAAAAACAAGAAATTCCGCTTCCTGTAACTATGACCAGAGTCATGACAGTGCCGCAAATCGTCAGATTGACGTGAAACCCGTAACGCGAAAACAGGACAGGACGACAACTGTTATTCCACCTGATTTATTGCTGTTTTGATGATGAATAAAAGACTTCTTGCTTGTTAATCTGTGTCACCTCATTCAATTTGTGTCCTAACATTTGTCGTCTCTTAGTATATTTCTAATCTAGGCATCTTGTTTTTTAGGGCCCTTCTTGTTTTTTTTTTCGCCCTCTCGCATTAGATTTATGGTCTCCAAAGGACGTCATCCATAAAATTTACTTGGTGTGGCCTAATGGGGGCATTACAAAACGGATGGCACACGAGCTAACACAGAACACGCGTGCACAGTGAAATATTAACCACAGTCCTCACCATAGATGCTATGGATTTCTAGATAACGAAGCAAATGACAATTTTCCACGTAGCTATGTCCATAATTGGCTAGAAAAAATACGCCCGTCGACGTCATAAAAGGAAGTGACGTAGTTTTCTATCCGGGAAGATCCCAGCTATATTGGATCCAGCGGAAACATGAAACCATGGTAGCGCAGACGCAATTGGGCATGGGAGATTCCTCGGACC